AATCATTTTTCATCCCTTTAAGGCTGTTTATCAATGTTAAAAGTAAAATCCATGTTTCCTTTAGTCAATTCAATGTTCAAACATATGCAACTATTTTGAATTGAACTCAACAAACATTTATTAAGTACTGATTACAAGTAGAGAACTAATGGGAGAAGCATAATTTTTTTGTTCAAGACACGGCCCCTGCCCTCATGAAACTTCCAGTAAAAAAAAAAAATAAAATATGATGTGTACACAGCTAACAATACTACAAAATAATACATGATGAAGTGATTAGTTGAAAAACGAATTGGCTATATGAAGTGCTCAGGGGGAAAGAGCAGTACAGTCTGAAGGGTTTAGGGAAAGAGTGACAGAATAATCAGCATCTGAATTGAACTTAAAATATAAACAAGAATACAATAGATGAAGGAATTTTGATTTTGAGTGGAGGCATATGGGCAGAAGAGCACAGGGAATGGAAAGTTTGAAAAACAACAAGCAATCCAGTTTAGGTAGAGGTCAAAATATACAGAGGAGGAATAGAATAAGATAAAGGCAGGACAAGAAGAATGTATTATGCACTTAGTATGTGCCAAGCACTATGCTAAGAGCTGGGTATACAAATACAAGTAAAAATAAGACAGTCCCGACCCTTAAGGTGCTAAAGGGAAAGGAACACACAGAAGGGAGATGAAAAACTGGAAAGGATGTGAAAAGAACTTATTTGTAGGGAACACTTAAGCTTTTACAAGCAATTCAACAATGGACCACATCTTTACCATCTCAAAATTAGCTGAAAAATACAGAGAATAGAAAACCTCATTCTAATTGCTATTTGTTCATTCTGAAAACAAATTTTATTCGTAAAAATAAAATGCAGCCTTACAGGCTCTTTTACAAAAAGGTGTATCCCATCCATGTATCAGAATCATGCAGGATTCCTTGGATGAAATTATTATTACTATAGTTTGAAAATTATTATTACTTATAGCTTGAAAAACACTATTTTTTTATTCATTTGTTTCTCACAACAACTCTATGAGGTAAATATTTCTCTCTGTCTTCCCAATTTTCCCTTTGTAGCCTTCCCCAATTCTGGGAATGCTAAGTCTCGCTCTGCAGAGGCTTTATATGTATGGTATATTGCCAAAGCAATAGGACACCTCTTTGGAAACAGGTTTGGAAAGAAATTGAGGTTTACTTCCAAACAATAGGTTCAATCCTAACAATATTCTTCATTTCTCACTGTTCTTTAGCAATTCACTTAGGATTTGTCTTTTTTAATTGCTGGTTATTATGGCAGTAAGCCATGTGGCTTCAGTTGGTGATATCACCTAATCCACTTAAGCAGCTGCTCCTCAACAGCTGGGAAGAAAATCAACACCTTCATGTTCAGTTCTATTCTGTGAGACAATGTCCGAACCTTCCCAACACAGAGTAACTAAAGTCTCTATTAAAAGTTCTTTGATTTCCAGGTTCCATAAATGTTGCCATCAGTTATAGCAGTTATAGAAGACAAAAAAAAAGTATAAGATAAAGTGGGATTTTGTTCCCAATAGGACAGGGAGAAAATTATGAAAGTATCTCTTTGACACCAGTAGATTGATTGCCATCATCCTCACCTACTTACTACTAGTAACAAGAAGTACTTTAATACTATTTATTTGAGTGAAATGGGTTTTTAAGGGGAGGAGAATAAGGGAGGATCACAGATTTCTTAAAACAAAACTAATGATCAGGCTTATCTTTATGTAAAATCTGAAAACATGTCCCTTTTTTTAACCCCTTCCCCTACCTCGAAGGTTCTAAAGGACAGTCATACTTTAAAAATATAAACTTAAATAAGTCATGATCAATGATAGCAGTACAGGGGGGAAAGTTTCTACTGACCAGCTCGTAGTTACCAGATTCATTGACAAGATCTTGTTCATTGTTAACAACTTTTTATTTGTAGAATTAGAAAATCTCATTGTTGGAAGGTACATCAAAGACCATATGGTCCAACATTACCTTAGAATACCCTCTACAACATCTGCTACAGATGATTATATATCCTTCACTTGAAAACTTTAAGTGAAATGAACATGCTGTCTCTTTGAGATGCCCCATTCTACTTTAAGGAAGCATTTTTTTTGAAATTTTCCTCATATCAAGTCTAAATCTGCATCTCTAATACATATGGCATGGCCTAAAGACCCTTCTTCCTGATCACTTATCCACCTATAATCATCCTTCCTAAAATGTGGTCTCAGAACTTAAGACAGTAAACAAGGTATGGCCTTATAAGGGCAAAGAGTATTAAGTCCATCAATGTCCTTCTTATGAGTGATTTGATGCACAATCCAACTTTAGATCACATTAGCTTTGGGGCCATTCCATATTACACTGTTGAATTATATTGAGCTTGAAGTCCACTGATTCCCAGTTTGAAGTCCACTAAAAACTAAAAGCCATTCTACTGATCTTTTTTCAAATATTAAATTCTAGATTAAATACCCCACCATTTTCATCAACTGTCTTTCATATAGCATTGCCTCCTTACCATACTGTTTTCCTTCCCTCCTTTGCCTGACATAGCTGAAAAACAGCACTTTCTCCCTACTACCTCATTCCTATCTATGGGGATAATTTCCAGCACAAGATATCTAGCTATTCAAAGTTTAAAACCAGTAGAAATTGGCTATCTACTCCTGTACACTCTGATCGTTTCTTTTTCTATCCACTTCTATAGGAATGTTCCATTTGCATCCACTTATTTAGAAATGAAAAACTGATGGCCATTCTGTTGTTTTCCCCAACTGAGAGGGTGACATTTCTTTAAAATATGCCTATAGAAGTTGCTAGACTCCTTTCTACAATGATTTGCAGAGTTTGATGAGGTAAGCAGATAAAGATTGAAGTATTATTCATACAGTTCCCTTAAGATTTCTCATCTTAAGACCAATAGCTATTCCTCTTAGTGTGACTTAACCATAACATTTAAAGTGGGAAATGACAAAAGTCAGGAAAAAGTAATTATTTATATTTGTATTTTCATACTTCTGTCTATATTCTATCTGCTGTGTCATGTCCACATATCTTTCCATGACAGGAAAAATGATTTCTAATCTTCCCGATCAGGGGACAATTTTATTGATCTCTACTTCATTTGAGGTTTTCTTCAATGATTCAGCAGATCAGAAACTACAGCTCTGTTGGCTATCTAACATTTAGTGAAGGGTTTATAGAGTTAAAATTATGTATCAAGTTTATAGCAGCCATGGGATTTTATTTCAGCACCAAGGAGAGTGTCCTGTTTTCTAAACCTTTTCAAACCTACATTGTAGCATTCAAAATGGCATGTAAACTAGGATATACGCAATCCAGTATATATATATATATATAACTTATATTGAAGAAGTATTCTAATAGGATCCCAAGAAAAACACTTCAATCATATAAATATTTCTTTGCATTTTAGTAAAACCATAGGGTGAATTTCTATAGTCCCAATGAAGTTATGCTTGTAAATATATTTTCCATGCTTGTAAAAATAAGTTGCATATTATTTATTCTATTTTCTTTGGAACTGCCTTTCATTATTTGTATATTTTGCTATGCTTAAGAGCATTTTTTCTACTTAGATCTCAGTAGAATGATCAAGGGAGTAACACTCAATAAAATTCCCATTTAATATGACCTGCCCTTAATAATAATAACTCAAATTCATAGTTCTTTAAGACTTACAAAGCATTTTCATCACAACTATTCTGAAGCAAATAGTGTATGTATTATTTATGTATATTTTACAGATGAAGGAACAGGCTCAGAGAGGATAAGTGGTATACCAAAGGTCAGAAAACTACTGTCAAATCTGGGGTTCAGAAATAGGTGTCTCCTAACACTAGATCCAGTACTTTTCCCTACTATACCACGCTAATGGTAATGAAAAGGCACTTTGTATCACTAACCAAAGAAGTGCCCTTGGACCTTTCACTTTAACAAATCCCTCTCCAACTAAAGCAAAATTTCTAGAGCCAGTGAAAGTATGCCCCAGGGAATGCTTTTGGTCATTATCACTTTAACTTTTACTCTACGTGGAAATTAATCAGCCTTCCTGAGTCCTTAGAAGTCTCTAAGATTAAAATGATAGGATCATAGCTTTGAAGCTGGAAGGAACTTTGGAAATCATCACTTTCATTTCCTTCATATTAGGAAACTGATGCCCCCGAGAGGTTAAGTGACTTGTCCAAGGCAACACAGAAAATATCTGTGCTAGAATTTGAGCCCATGTATCCAGAGTTCTAAATCCACTAAATCCTCGAAGATAATAATGTTTCTTGAATGCCACTTCCCCAGCAACCCAGAAATCCCATTCCCTTACTCTACAGGAAAGGCAAATACCATACATAGGGTTAGTTATTCCATCACTGAGTGGACCTCTGAGAAATGAATGCCACTGTAAGACTCCTAGTTCAGCCTGGTCTTACCAAAGAACAAAGATCTATAAAGTAGTGCCTGACCTTTTCCAAGGTATCACTAAAGACAGAGAGACTTACAAGCGGCTCCTAGAGGACCAGACCCAACTACTAATAAGGTGATAGAAAAATACGTATGTATGTGTATATGTGTATGTGTGTATACATATATGTATATACAGAACTATATAAAGGCTAAAATCCATAGTTTAACAATAAAAGTTTCTCTTTCTAAAAGTAGCAATCGAGACAATCGAAGTAGCCAATTGTTACTATCTTCATAATCCTCTAAATTATTCTGTTCCTTCAATCAAATCTAATATTTGTGCTATAAAACATGTGTGAACAATATTAAGTCTCCTTTTTCCCCCCAGGTAGGCAAAGACCAGCTCTCAGCTCCAAGAGGCTTCCCATGTTAAGGCACCAAACATTCTACATGGATTGTACTATTAAGCCCCCTAAAATGGGGGGAGCTGCCTGAGAAGTACTGATTTCTATTTCAAACTGCATTTTGGCACTTTGTACTCCAGCACCATTGGCAGATCAATATTTAATGCTTGGAGATTCTGGCTCTGCAGGAGTCATGTCAGGGGACCTCCAGAGCCAATCTGCTTGGACTGAGAAGTGATAATTATTCATGGGCTCCTGCCTCCTGCTCTTTCTCTTCCACAGCCCCACTCTGCAGACTCAGTGCCTTATTCAGTCTTCTCTCTCTCTCCGCTGCTGTAGCTGGACCCCTTTGCCTTTCCTCACCTCTGAGCATCCATCGGCACATCTCTACAATGGCTAAAACAGCAATGGGTAAGGAATCTGTTTTTACTCCTTTAGCTTTTTTCTGGAGACAATGGCACAGACTGTCCCTTGGGTTTTCAAAAGAGTTTAATGTAGCTTGTAAAGAAAAATATGCTATTGGTAATATCAAGAACAAGAAGCTAAGAAAGAGAGGAGATGGAGAACTGACAGCCCTGGGTGCGGTGAGGGAGGGTGGAGAGGGGAGTCTTTTGAAATCCCAATGAAGAATTACTCCAGAGTCATAAAGGCAGGTAAGTTGGTCTCCCACCCATAAAGGTTGGTTTGTTTGTTTTGTTTTTAATCTTAATAGCCCCTCAGTGTTTCAGGGGGAGAAAAGTTACATCAACCACCTCTCTCTTAAATGTAGGATATAGAAATATAGAAAGCCAGAAACTGGAGCTATGAAAAAGCTTTACACTGCCCGTCTAATGTTCTTCTTTTTTTTTTTCCAGTTTTCCCCCTAGTAAACCAGAAGAAATGAGAAAGGGGAGGAAGGGTGGCGAAAAGAAAGGAAGAGGGGAAAAATCCAAAGTCAAACTCTGCGGTTGGAGGTTGGGTAGGGGGGGAGGAAGATAGAATAGTGTGAAATAATGCATTTTGACTAGTTAGCTACCCCGCTAGTATTGGAGAAGGGAGCAGCCTCTCCTTTGTTTTGGGGGAGGGGAGACTAGTAGAAAGGGGAAGAAGTAAAGAACAGTGGAAAGGGTGTGGGGAGGTGGGGGTGGGAGGGTGCCGGGTGTGGAGCTGCAGGGGTGGGGTTGGGGAGGAGAAGGATGGAGGGAGGGTGGTTCAGATGAAGATTGCGTTGGGTTTCTTTGTGTGAGGCTGAATGTTCCTGTGGGGAGGGCACCTGCAGAGCTCAGTGCCACACACTCCAGCAGCCCAGCACAATGCAGACAGACCCCACCCATCTGCTTGAGACTGCTGCTGTTCGTCCTCTTCCTCCCAGAAGCGTTAGGGAGCTCGTCTCTCTCTCTCTCTCTCTCTCTCTCTCTCTCTCTCTCTCTCTCTCTCTCTCTCTCTCTCTCTCTCTCTCTCTCTCTCTCTCTCTCTCTCTCTCTCCACATAGCCCCTGTTTAGCATATCAGAAATCTAGGGAAGGGAAGGAGCAAGAGTGGGGAATAGAACGAGGAAATATAAGGAGACCCTGCCCTGCAGTTGGGGAAAGAGTACACGCACCAGAATATAAAGGTGTGTCTCTCATTTTCTAAAACAAGGCTTTATCCTGAATCCATTCAATCATTTTATCGTTTAGGAGGGGGATGTTTTAGGTCATTAGAAAAACAAATGAATGTATCAGATCTGATATGTTTTAACAAATGGATGATTAGATGTTGTTACCAAGTAAGTCTCAATACCTTTTGACCATTATATGTGTAACCCAAGGTGGATTACTTAAGAATTTTTTTTCTTTGCAATTGTTTTGTATCATTAGAACCAAACTGGTCTTGGATACTGTAGATTTCATTAAACTGTGACCGCCTCCTTTTGGGGGTTGGGGACTTGAAGGGAGAAAGCAAAGAGGAGGATAGAAAGAGAGAAGGCAAGGTGTGTCCATTAGCTGCTGGATCTGGGCACATCTCCAGTATAGTGAGTGCAGTGTGAGGTAAAGAAATGAAAGGAAGAGGCTAGAGCCGGCTCCCTGTGGAGAATTTAGCCCCCCTGCCCCACCCACCGTGCTAGGGTGCCTCCAGTTCTCCAAGTCAGAAAGGCCTGAAATGCTGGAAGAGGGTGTGGCTCGGGGGGTCTGCCAATATGGTCACTCTCCTTTGCAGCGGTTCGCAGTGCCCCCACGCTCCCCTCCAAGCACTTATCCACCTGAGTTTGCTGACCCAGCCCAAACCCCGCCCTACCCATTCTTTTGCGTAGCATCTATATGTACGCTAGCTACTCAGAGGGGATCATTGGACCCTCAGAAAGTCTCATACTTTGAGGCATAGTGGGAGTAGCCCCAGGCCACTCCCGCTACACAAAGCCACCCTGCCCTGCCCTCCCGTCCCTTCCACTCCCCTCCTCGCCCCAGCCCAGTCCCGCACTGTCCAGCTTGCGGAGATATGCCCTTTACTCTGAGCCCCTCCCCCGACAGCCCTGCAGAAGACATCTAGGGTCATTCTCCCCTTCTCACCCACACCCACCCATTTTCATCAGTCAAGCTCTCAGGGGTCGGAACTATTGTGTCTTCCTTCAGACCCCACCGCCCTGTCCCCCTAGATCTCTGCTTTTCCCTACGGGCAGATAAGGAACCTGAGGTAGCGGAAACCTGTCCCACCAGCCAACACCCCACCCCATCCCACTCTATCCCATTGATTACCCCAGAAAGTCTGAAAGAATTGGGGGTGGGGAGAGAAGGGAGGAGTCAAATCTGAGAGGGGCACAGTGGGACGGAAAACAGCTGATATGCAAATCTATTGAGGCGGGAGTCGTGGGAGGGTAGCCAGCCCTGCAGTGCTGGACGCGCCCTCCTCCCGCTGCTCTTGCTACCCATTGCAGCAGTCTGGTGGTAATACCACTTTGGTATTGGGTATTCGTAGTCTGAGAAATTAGCCTCAGCAGGAGTGCTGCTCCACCCCTGATTTCTCTCTCCTCGCCCATAAGGTTCCTTAAGGGTTTGCCTAAGGTCCTCGCCCCACATCCATAAAAAATAGGGAGGGGTTCTGTGTCAGGAGACCCCCCCCAAACCATCCAACCCTCCCCGAGATAATTGAATCTGCCTCTCTACATCGAATTCCCTCCGTCCCCTTCTCAATTAATCAGGTCCTAATTACCCAGTCTCCTTACTATTCTCACAAATAATTGGGGAAATTCTGTTTCAAATCTTTCAAGATATCTATGAATTTTTTTAAGAATATGTGGGGGAACGAGACAAGTTATTCTCAAATAAGATTATATAGCCCCCTTTCCTTCCCTTTCTCCCCACTGAGATGCACATTCAAAAATCTCTCCTCACTCTATAGATTTGTAAAGTTATAAATGTCTTGTAAACATTTAGATGTTGTAAAGGTTATTTGTCACCGTGTTGTGAGAGTGTGTATATGTGTGTGTCCATGATGGGTGCCCGTGCCTTTGAAAAGAAAAGGGTGGGTTTGCCAAGGACTTCTTGAAAAATTGGCGTCAAGTTGGTCCGTGAAGTTGCAATGGGGGAAAAATGTTTCTAAGGTTTCGTTTCCTTCAGTACAGACTCTGCAAGGTTAAAAATGTGTAAAGATAAAATCGTCATGCTAAGATGAGCTTTCCCCACTGCTGGTAGGTTAGTAGCATGTGTTGTGAACTAAATTATCTAAATTCTGAATTAAAACCCTGGTGGTGAAATGGAAATCACCATCACCCTGATCAGACACCCAACTGCCAAAAGGAGGCAACGCAAGCACCCTCCCTAGCGGCAGTTAACATGTATTTGCAAATTGAGTGATCAGGTCAGATTCTGAGATGCTGAATTATCTGCTAAAGTATTTAAAATGACTTTGATAAGCATTCTAGTTACAATGCTGAATCTGCTGTTTGGTGGTGGTTGTAGATTTTCTTATTTATTACACGATTATTGTATGCAATATGTTTGCTAGGTGAAATGTGGTCTTTAGCCGTCAAGTACCTTCTGGATGATTTTTATTCCGGATTAAAGAAGAAATAGAATTTACAAGGACTGAACACACAAAAATTAAAATATGCATGTAGATTATGTTACATAATTAGCTAAGTGACTATTCTAGAGATTTGGGTATGGTTTCAGGGCGAAGCTAAACATGAACCGGCAAAGTAGCTGACAGTAGGACTATAAACAATGGGACTTGGGCTGTTGCTGAGTGAGTAACCTAAGTCCAGGAAGCCAAGCTTTTTGGGTGATTGACTTTACCCATTTGGTAGCTGAGTAGATTAAGCGTTATAAGGGATCCTGCCCAAATGATGTTTGTCCAAGCATGTTTTATTTTAGGAAGAAAGATGTTCTTGAAAAATATAGTGACTTGTGTTATTAGGTCCCAGAACTTTAGTTGTAGAGCCAAGTTCAGTTTCATTGTGATTCCTCATACCTATTTGGGGTCTGTTTTTTGGTGACGGGGTAGTAGTGGTTATTGTTGTTTTGTAGTCACACATTTTAACAAACAAACATGTTTTTATTGTTTGAGGAATTACCTGTGTTCTAAGCTTTCGACACTTTAATTGAATTTTCTTTCAAAAGATTTTTTCTTTTTTTTTTCAAATACCATTTTAGTATATTTTAGCTCATTTTCACTTCAAGCATTTGTGGTCGTGGGTTGGACTGTGAGATGAATCTTTGCTTGACAGATCAGCACAAATATCAAATATCAAACAGGTCATTCCTACTAGTCAAAATAGTGCAAGATTCCAAGTTTTATTCAGACTTTTCAAAAAAAAGTCTATTTTATTGCCTCATAGAACAAAACCACATCACATTAAATGAAATGAAGTTACTACTTAAATAATTTGGAACAAAAACTGGCTTTATTTTATAATTTTAGGTATTTTTTTAAATGGTATAGATTGTCAGTACCTGATTGTGATCTTAATATCCAGAAAACTGGAGGTGACCTGGTTAGGTCATATCTGGATTATCATGGTGCTCCCTAAACATTTCAATAGCTGTGAAACAAAATTGGGGCGGGGGAGAGGAGAGTGCAGAACAAGGTCTATACAACTAAGCAAAATGAAACAGGTGCTAGTTTATTCATACTAAAAGGAACCTCAGAGGTTTTGTAGGACAAACTGTATCCAAGATTACAAATTTTTCAACAGCAGCTATACAACAGCAGTTGACAGGAACCCACATCTGCTGAGCAGCCTTTTCCCCTTTGGGACAGTACAATTAAGAAGCTTTCTTAATTCAGAAGTATAATCTGGCTCCTTGTCATTTTCATCTATTTTTTCTAATATCTCTTCCATATGTCTTTCAAAAATATGAAGATAACTATAATCCTCCCCCCCACCTCCAAATTTCCTCCTCCAATATTCTCCAAGTTAAAAACCACTGGTTCCTCCAACCAATTCCTCCAAGA